ATGCGGAAAGCATGGCCATCGTGTTTCTGATTGTAAAGTTAAAAGAGAAAATTATAATAAAAATCGTAAACATCAAGAAGTATTTGCTATGCACGTGGTTAATAATATTAAGAAAGTAAAACATGAAAATTATATGTGGTGTATAGATAGCGGTGCGAGTTCGCATATGTGTAACGACAAAACACGATTTATTGAATGGCATGATTACGAAAAAACAAGAATAAGTACAGCTGGACAAGAAATAATAGAAGCTTTTGGTAGTGGTAAGGTAATATTGAAATTAAAGCAATTAAATGGCGATAATATTGAAATTCAATTAAAAAATGTAATATATGCTCCAAAATTACAAAAAAATTTGATTTCTGTTAAAAGTATAACTGATAATGGTTTTACAGTAAAATTTAACTATAATTCAGCAATGTGTTTTGACTCTAATAAAAGATTAATTTTTAGAGCTAATAAGTTTGATAATTTATACTTATTGAAAGAGTACACGCATACTACATGTTTATCGGAGCATTTAAAATCAAATAACAACTTAATTAAATGGCATAGACGTTTTGGTCATCTGAATTTTAATGATATGAAAAAATTAACTAAAGCAAATTTAGTTTCAGGTATTGATTTATCATTAAAAAAAACTAATTTGAAATGTATACCATGTATAAAATCTAAAATTAAACAGTTACCATACAAATTGTCGGAAAATAAACCAAAAGAAATTCTCGATATTGTACATTCAGATATATGTGGTCCATTTTCTCCATCTCTTGGCGGATCAAAATATTTTATTACTTTTGTAGACGGAAAGTCAAAATTTACTGAAGTTGCATTTATTAAACACAAAAGCGAAGCTTTTAATGCTTTCAAAAATTATAAAAGAAAATTGGAAAATGAAACTAATAAGAAAATTAAAGTTTTTAGGTCAGATAATGCAAAAGAATACATTTCTAAGGATTTTGAAAAATATTTAAGCGAAAATGGTATTGTACATCATTTAACAGTGCCCTACACACCTCAACAAAATGGTGTTTCCGAAAGGATGAATCGCACTTTAGTTGAAATGGCGAGAGTTATGTTGTTAGAGGCGGATCTACCGAAATATTTATGGGCTGAGGCAATTAACGTATTTATACGAAACCGATGTCCATCAGTTTCAATCAATTATAATACACCATTTGAAGTATTTAAAAAAAGAATTCCTGACGTACATTATTTTAAAATTTTTGGTAGTAAAGCGATTGCCCTAGATAAAGGTCCTAAAAGAACAAAGTTTGATGCTAAAGGCAAAGAATATATATTTGTTGGTTATGATACGATCTGTAAAGGTTTTAGACTATTTGATAAAGTAACTAGAAATATAATACGATCGAGAGACGTAGAGATAATTGAAACTGTAAAACCAGAAAATTATGTATTTTTCGAATTAAAACCAGATACAAATTTGGAAAATGATAACAATGTTGTTGAAATTTCGAAGTGTGAAATTCATGATGATAAAACAAAAAATGAAATAAATGACGTCCACGATAAAATAAATGAGGAAACGAAAGTTAGTAAAAATATATCAGACACATCAGAAAGCGACTCAAATTTTGAAAATGAATATTTTGAAAGTTGTGACGATGAACCAAATGAAATACAATATCAAAATGACGAAGCAAATGTACCAAAAATACGACGAAAGCTTGGTAGACCAAAAATAATAAGATCTGGTAAACGAGGCCGACCTAAAATAGTTCGGGAAGAGGTAAATGTTGCTTTAAATAAAATTAATAACAATCCTTTTTCATTTGAGGATGCCATGCGTGATGAAAATAAAGAAAAGTGGATTGAAGCTATTAATGACGAAATGTCATCACTCAATAAAAATAATACCTGGATTGTTGTAGATCGTCCTGCAAATAAAAATATTATAAGTAACAGATGGGTATTTACTAAAAAATTTAACCAAGATGGAACTGTACAGAGATATAAAGCTAGATTGGTCGCCAGAGGCTGTGAACAAAAAGATAATGTTGATTTTCAAGAAATTTACGCTCCTGTAGTACGTTATGAGACATTAAGAACAATTTTTGCGGTTTGCGTTAAAACAAAAATGGAAATTCATCATATGGATGTAGTGACAGCATTTATACAAGGAAATTTGAATGAAGAAATCTATATGGAATATCCAAGAATTTTAAATCGGGTATCCGACAAAAAAAGGGTATGTAAATTACTAAAACCATTATATGGTTTGAAACAAGCTAGTCGTCAATGGCACCAGAAGTTAAGTCAATTTTTAAAACAGCTTGGTATGAACGAATCTAAGGTTGATCAATGCTTATTTTTGAAAAATGAAGGTGATAAAAAAATTATGATAGCCATTTACGTTGACGATCTGGTAATGGCATCTAATTGTGCTGAATATTTAACGAAATTTAAAGAAGAGCTAAGTAAACAGTTTGAAATGAAAGATTTAGGCAAAATAAAAAACATACTAGGTATTTCTGTTGATTACGATTTTCAAAATGGTGTTATAAAGCTTAGCCAAAAGCAATATATCGAAAAAATTATAAATAGCTTTAATATGCAAAATGCAAAAACACAATCAACACCAATGGAATCTGGTTTTTTAACTGAATTAAAGAAACAAAGTATAGATGAAAATGAAATCAATGACATGAAAAATGTGCCATATAGAGAACTGATCGGATGTTTACAATATTTAACACATACAACTCGCCCAGATATTGCGTTTGCAGTAAATATTTTGAGCAGATTCACTTCAAATCCATCAAAAATGTGTTGGGTTGCTGCTAAAAGAATACTAAAATATTTAAAACAAACAGTTGATTATAAAATAACATATAAATCTACATGTGGAAATGACATGGTTGCTTTTAGCGATTCTGATTGGGCAAGTGACCCAAGCGATAGAAAATCGTGCTCAGGATATGTATTAATGATGTGCGGAGGTCCTATAACGTGGAAAGTACAAAAACAAAAATCTGTCTCCCTGTCTACTATGGAGGCAGAATTTGTCGCATTGTCAGAAACTACAAAAGAAACTTTATTTTTACGCCAACTTCTCAAAGATATTGGTTTTCAACTAAAAACTGCAACAACAATTCATTGTGATAACCAAAGTTGTATACAATTTGCTAAGGATGGTGCAGTTCATAATAAGGCAAAGCACATTGATATTCGGTATCATTTTTGTAAAGAAAAAATAGTTGAAGGTATTATACATCTGAAATACGTATCTTCAAAAGAAAATATTGCTGATATAATGACGAAAGCGCTAGTGAAAGCAAAACATATGGATGCCATTAAAAGTTTAAATCTACAGTAATTTTTTTTTATATACGTATAAAAAAAAAGGAATTTTTATTTGAATTGATACAAAATGTATAATTATGTTAAAATTTGAATATGTATTATTTTGAATTTGTAACAATTTTTTTTTATTTTAATTTTTTTTGTAAAGTTCATTGATACGGGGAATGTTAGAAAATATATAATTACATTGATCAATGTACTTTACATTTATACCTGGAATTTAATTGGTTATAATTTTTATATAGCTTGTATATACACATACATGTACACAAAGAATTTTATTATTACTTTATATATGTTTAAGAATTCAATTTGATCAATAAATAAGTCTCTTGCTGAATTTTGGTTTAACACATACAAATATACATATATGAAATGAATATTTTTTGAAGGAAAATGTTGTTGTCCTTTGAAATAAAAAGTTAATGTCCTTAAGAATTTACAAGTAAATTAAAAAAAATTACGTAGTAATAAAAAAAATTTTGAAAATTTTAAAAGGATGAAATTTTATGGGGAGGACGAATTTTGTGAAATATATTGGGATGAGTGCGGTATGGTACGAGTAGGAAAATAAGAAAAAAAATTTTGAATCAATAAATTTAGGGAAAATGTGAGTAAAAAAATTTCCAATTACTAACATATTATAACATTAACGTTTTTGACTGGCTTTGAATAAACAAACACAAACATATATATATATATATATATATGCGTATATGTATATTGCATGGTTGTAAAAGTATTTTGTAAATATTACTTTCGTTATTTAATATTTCCACTTAATTTGAATTAAATTAAGTAAATAATGTTTAATATAGTATATACAATATATATATAATGTGTGCATATAATGAACTACCACTCATGATATTAAAAATTTCGGAAGAATTTGATTTTGTGAACATAAGGAAGTAAAACAAATTATCATTGTGTTTCTGATTGAAATTTTTAAAATTCCCAGCATTACTTTAATTTTCTCTAATATTTAAAAATTTCATATATTTTCTATGGTTTATAGAGCTATTACAGCTGCTTAGTTCTCGATAAATCAAATATTCGAATGCGTATTTTAAGTCTAATTTTTTATTGCAATAATTCTGAAAAAATAAAGAGAGTTTTTTTTTTCATCGGTTTTTATATTAAAAAAAAGCTTAAAATTATAAAATATCATATTATATCGAATATTTTTATTGAAGATTCATACTTCGATATTAAACATTTTCACATACGAACGTTCCCATATCAAACTTTAATTAAATCAAACAAAACGCATAAAATATTTTGAGACGTAAACACTATGATGCAAACTAATAACAAATTCATAATACCTTTTCAAATATACTATAATAATATAGAAAATAGAACTTATGAGAGTATATAATTATTATATAGAGCAACTAAACATAACAACACCATTAGTATACCATGGCATATAATTTTAATAAATATAGAAGCAATTTTAATTTTTATTTCATCAAAATTAAATTATCAAAAAAAAAAAAGAAAAATTATAACAACTTTTATTATTACTATATTAAAAACCTTACAACTCGAACTTTAATAAAAAAGTTATTAAAGTCGAATTATATGAACTTTATTGTGACACAATAAACAAGAAAAACAAAAACAAAAATAACAAGTACAATAAAAATGAAATAATTTTTCACATATAAAAAATGTCATTGCACTCTGACACCGTTCATGGAGAAGTTGGTGAAAATTTTTGGTTTGATGGTAAAATGTTTTCTTTGTATACAAAGGAAATAAAAATAAAATAAATGGAAAAATTTTTTTTTTATAATTTTTTATTTTGGTACTTTTCTCTTTAATTCTATTCCATTAAAACAAACAGAATAAAAAATCAAAAATTTCAGTTAAGGTTATACTCGTATATCAAAATATTAAAATGTAATATTTCATAAAAGTTATTTAATAAATTTCATTTTACAAAAACAAACACAAGTACACAACACAATCAACACTGAATTTGAAAAGGGAAGAAAAAAATTTTTTTTTTTTTGAATTTCATTTTCTTATTTCTAAATATTTTATTTTTTACTGAAATAATTTAAAAAAAAAAAAACAACTTTAATCAAAGCTAGACAACAACAATAAATAAAATATTTTAAATTCAATATTTGACTCAAGGAATACAACAATAATATTATGTTTATATACACATACATAAATACATACATAGAGGGTTGAGTTTAAAATAACTGTGATGGTCGTAAATTTCATATATGTATTAAATCTGACAGGAGTTATTAAAAGTTAAAACATGCGAGAGCAGTTGATTTAAAATTGTCGACACGGGGTTTCTAAATTTCGCACAAAAACGAATAAGAAATACTCGTAAAATAAAAGAGATACAAAAAAAAAAAAAAAAAAATTTTCTCTATGTCATTATGACAACAACCTTCAGAGACATTGACAATGAAAAGAAACAAAACAAAAAAATGAAAAATTCATTTTTATATTAAAAAAAAAAATATCCAGAGATGACACTTAACTCCCTTTAAATATATTTCTCATAAATAATAGCATATACAACACATATTAATAATAATATGGAGGATAAGAGAGAAATTTCATTTCACCGTTCAGATGACTTTCTTTTTAGCAGAGAATCAAACCAAAATAAATAAGAATAGTGTTGGATAAATTTAAAAGAAATATCAAGTTGGTTATCATTAATACAGAATTAGAAAAACCAGACCAATTGCATTGTGTATGATTGTCCAAATCGTATTTCTAAAATTCGACTAAACATATTCTGGCATATTCATCTCGAATAAGAATGAAAGTAAGTCTTTGGTTACTTTATCTCCGAAATGTTAATTAAATTTTGAAAGTAGCTGTGTTTATAGTCGGCTGTTTCTGCAAATTTTGTTTAACATATTTTTATTATTGAACATGATTCGAATATTAAATTTTCAAGGATTTGCGTTAATTATATCTTTTTATGACATAATCAAAAATGGGAAATATTGCATTTTAAAAAAAACTTGGTAAATAGCATTAGTGGAAATTATTATAAATTTTTTTTTAAAATATGAAAATATAAAATCTTCCAGTGGAGAAAGTCAACTTCAATATACCAAAAGGTGATACATTTACCTTAACAGCTCAGGCAGACATGTAATTTTTAAATCGCGTGCAACTAAACAATCAAACAGTTTGTAATTTTTTACAAACTTATTGCAATTTTCAGTTTACGCACTCGATTTGAGTTGATGCAATAGTTTGGTTGCTTTTTCCAATCAAGCAGTAAATACAAAACTAAAAATTGCATGTCTACCTGAATTCTTAACCTAACCTCAAAAATTCTGCAATTTATTTATTGCCAAAAACAAACTTAGATATGAATTTGTTTAAGAAATTCTTTTATTTGAGTGGAATTATACTAAATTACTATCAAATACTAAAAAAATCGGGTTCAGGTCTCTGTTTTTCAATACTAAAGAAAATACAAAAAATTCTAATAATTTTAAACTGAAGAGCAAACTTTTGAAAGGATGCTGCTTAACTTGAAAAGATAATCCAGGATCTGTTAAATTTTGATAAGGAAAGCGGAATATATTTTGACTTTCATGAATAGTTTAAGAAAAGAAGATTTATTTTAAAATTAAGGAGCACTCATTTTATTTTTTTTTTGTTTAAATTTTCTATAGTTTTTTTATAATAGAATGATAATTCAATTTTTTTATTTGACCTTTCTATGCGTTGTTTATAAAAATTGGAAAATATTTCAAAATAAGTTTTTATTATTGTTTTTCTTTCTCTTTCTAATTTATTATAATTTTTACTGTGAAATTCTTCCTTGATTTTGCTGGATTTTATTTATGAAGTTTTGTCAAGTGGGGTTTTAAAGGTGACTTAAGAAGTTGTACTGTTCTCTTCATATATTTGCTTATATGTTTTGAATCAAAAGTATTTTAATTAAATACGTTGTAGATATCTGAAATCCTTAATTGAATTTTAATATTATTCTCTTATCTAATAAGAGTTAGAAAATGATAATTGCGAAGTAGTTTTTAAAAAAATGAAAATAAAGAAGTGGAGTGAATTAATAGTTTAAAAGTTGCAAGGAAGAAAAAAATTTGGAACTGTTTCAGTAATCTCAATGATTATGTATCTTAAACCCCTTCTTATCTGTTTAGGTAAGAACAAAGTCAAAAGCCTTTTAAGCAATTTTTGTCTAAATGAAAATTTTTTCCACGGTCTTAATTTCCCAAACTATTCTTTCTAAAATAAATATTTAAAGAAAAAATTAAGTATGCATATATGTCAATAAAACCATCAAACGCTTTTAAAAGTTCCAATGTGTTTCCAACTCAACTTTTTGTTTTTAATAAGATTGTAGTATTTAATGTAAGAAAACTGTGCACGTTATCCCCGGGGAATAAGTTTAGTTTTCCAAATAATTTAAAAATTAAAAGAAAACTTTAAATAAAAAAAAATTAGCGTCTGTTAAAAATGTCTGACCTATAATAAATCCAAAAATACATTTAACAGTGCCACTACCATAGAAATTAAATAAAATAAAAGTGTTCTTCAAAAGGTTTCTTTTTTTTTTTTAAATAATTAATTCTTAGAATTTTTTTAGATTATATAGAGGAATTTCTTTTATGCTCTGTTGAATTTATTTCTGACATTATTTTCTTTCTCCTTTATTACAGGATGAAATAGGGTAATAGACTTAGTGTTTGGGAAAATTTCAGTTGTCTGAGCATATTTCCAGGATTTTTCAATATTATTTATTGAGTGTAAGGAGTTTACAAATTCTATTTGAGATTAAAGAATACGATTTGCAAACGGAATTACATTATTTGCTATACTGTGAAATTGTATCGACAAAATAAATTTTTGTGAACGAGAATAATTAGTACATTTGAACAAAAACCTACATGGTTTTTCAATATTAAACGATTTTTTTATCTAGACTACACCGAATCTTAAGAAATTAAAATATTCTGGAAATTCTTAACATATCAGAAATTTAAATGAAATCTACAAATTTAAGTTATTTTGACCGAGAAATATTCATTAACAACTAAAAGCTCTATTGTTCATATAACAAAAATAGAACTTGTAGTTGGTCGTTATCAACTTTCGTAAATTTATGACTTTACGCTTTGTCTGCCCATATTACTATTGCTCCTAATTATAATTTTATATTATATATATTTAAATTTTATTTATATGTTTGTATTATTATTATTTATATATAATTTTGAAATAATATCAAATATGAAACAAATTTCTTTTTACAGCCTACATGCCCTTGGGAGAAATGGCTGGTAAAAAAAAAAATTTGTTTTATTTTCGATTTTTGGCTACAAGAATTTTCCATTAATATTTTTTTATTGTATGCGTATGTGTGTTTGCACGGTCTTTGTATATAAACGGCATATTTTATTAATGTACGTGTATATGTAAAAATATTATGAAAAACAAAAATGAAAATAAATTCACTTTGATTACCTTAAAAGCTGCAGAGTGGCAATATTATCATCTCAAAATATTATTTAGGTTGAGGATCTACAAAAGCATTTAGAAAAAAATCTGATGTGGTCAGCATATAGCCGACCGCAATGTGTATTTTCTAGCTAAGTGAAAGTGTTACAGAATATTATAAAAATGTCTGTTAAATACTTCTTTCCAATTTTTAGGATATTAGTAAGCTTATAGTTAACATACCTAGAAAAATGTAAATTTGGCTCTCAGTAGAGTTTCGCTTTGTGCTACCCGGATTCCCTGAAATGCTTGCCAGTAAGTTTCGGTAACAACCAAAAATAAAATATCAAATTTCAAGAAATTCCATCAATTCGTTCCGTAGATATAGTGAAAAATGTAAAATCGGCCCGCAGATCAGTTTTCGAGGCCTGATCTCTCCCAAAAATTTATATGTGCATTGTTTCAATACGAAGAATTTAAATATTAAATTTAAATGAAATCGGTTATTTCTCTTTATATACGCAAAAATGTATATTTGGCTCTTTGTAAACGTCCAGTTGTTGACGCCTGATTTTTTCCAAAAGTTGTGAGGTTTCGCGGACGGTTGAGCTAAGCTTATATATAAAATTTCATCAAAATCTGTTAAAGCAGAACTTAAGATACACGCGTGCATACACAGACCGACAGACCGACAGGTTGCTAAAAATAGTTTATTTACACTTCCCTACTATGGAGAGGTGTATTCCCACCGAAAACTCGATATGCAAAATTTGTTGCCATCACATAACCTACCTATTGTTTACACAATACGGTCGGTAATAAGTATTTTATAGCCTTCCGGTAGGATTTCTTTAAAAAAAAGAAAAATTAATATGTTCCTTTGAAATTTGCTTTCAAAAATTTTCTAACTGATAAATAAAACTCAAAATGTTGTATTTGCCATATGAACAATATCCTTTATTTGGTTAAAAAAACAAACAGGAGAACAAAAGCAGACTGGTTCCTAATGAGTTTTGTTTCTGGGGGTTTGTTTCATGCACATAAACCCAATATTGCCCATATACCTTTTTTTTCAAAGAAATTTTTCTTTATTATTTGGAGTTCACCTGTCCTTTTATTTATCATAAAAATTGCATTTTTATTATTTTTATCTTTGCGGTAGGGTTGCTTTCTATTTTGATTTTTTTTTTGTTTTATCCGCAGGGTTGGTATTTTCCCTTTTTTCTGTATATTATTTATATTCTTTATTTTTAACTTTTGCTAAATAACACAAC